AGGGAGCAATTTCAGAACCCCAGAATGGGATGTCGTGGTGTCCTCATACCTGCAGGCAGTATTTAAATGAATTACGTCTAGAGTTAAACCTAAATAATTGCTTTAAACCATGGTTACAAAACTAAATGCAAATGTCATAAGTGGTTTTAAAAGAGAAAATATAGAGTGTAAAAAATAAGTATTTTGCAACCAGCATCTGGATTAAAAACTCAGGAAAAGGGAAAAGACTTATGGAATAGTCAAAACGGCTGAATTGCATTATCTTCTATAGGAAATGCTTCAGAAAGCAACTTTATTCTTGACTTTGGATAATTAAAGAAATGTAGATTAAAAATTTTTTTCAAATGTCGTGTAACAATAGTGTGGTTAAAAGCATATTGCATTCCTTCTTAAGCACAGTTTTCTAAGGGCTTTCTTGCCACTGAAGCTCAGGATTTCACACATCAACCATCCCTCCTCTTGCCTCCCAACCAGCCCCCTCCCATCAATAATTAAGCATGTTCAAAGTCTCCACAAACGTCAAAATATATCTGCATATATTTTCAACCTCACATCTCCTTCTACCCCGGTGATTGTCGGTCTTGGTGGTGTATGAGAATCACCTGAGAGCTTGAGAAACTATCTCAGAGATTGGGACCAGCTCCCAGAGACTCTGACGTAATTGGTCTGGAGAGTGGCCTTGGCATTTGGATTTTTTAAAGCACCTCACATAATTCTAGAGTACAGACAAGCTTGAGAACCATGTTAGTCCTAATTCTCTGCTCCCCTTCTCAGCAAAATTCCTAGTAGGTTTTCATAAAACCTGTTTGATTCCCTCTTCTCCTAAACTCTCCCCAAACCGCAACAATCAGGTTTCTGCCCCCATCACTTCTCTGAAATAGCTGATGCTAAGGTCACCAAAAGCCCAATGCTGCTAAATCCAAGAGACCCTTTCAGTCCTCATCTTCGCTGACCTCTCCACGGCTCTAGATACTTGTCATGACCTTGCATTTCTTGACGAACTCTCTTCCTTTAGAGGCTGAGACTCCGCACTGTCCCACTTTTTCTCTGACTCCTCTGCTGCTCCTTCGGTAGACTCTGGAGGTTCATCCTCCGTGCCCAGCCATTAGAAGCTGCTGCTCCTAAAGACCCGCCCTGGACCCTTTGGTGAGTGGGAATCTCACTTATGCTCTCCTGCATGAAGGACAGTCTCCCCATGCCCAAGATTGTAATTTCCACCTTGTCTTTGGTGATTTACAAATGTGTTTCTCTAGCCTAGACCTTTCCTATGAGCTGCAGCCCCACCCAGCCCACTCCCAGGTGACATCTCCCATCGCCTTAGGCTCTCCCTGCCGACACTATACTGTGATCCTCTCTCTTAGTGCACAGCTCTCCATCCATTTGCACAAGATGTCTCCTTGACACCTCCTTCTTTCACTCTCCACATTCAGTGTACATGCAGGTCTGTTCATAGTATTTCCTGAACATCTCCTTTCCATTCACTTCTCCTCTACCTCCACAATCGTCAATCCAGACCAGCTGCCGCAGTCTCTCTAGATGGTCGTGGGAGCCTCCTGGCAGCGTGGTCTCCCCCATCCTCATCTCAAGGGAGCTTTGCCAGCCACAGATCTATGCTGTCAGCTCCCTGCTTCCCCCTCCAAAACTCTTTGATGACTTCCCATTTGTCTCAAGACAGAACAGAAAAAAATAAGAGAAAAGAGAAAGTCCTTCCTGCTCTGGTCCTTGCCATCCTATCAATTTCACCCACACCACTCTCCTCCAGCCCCACCATTCTCCCCTCTCTCCCAGCATTCCCACCATGGTGACCTTCCAGTTCCTCAAATGTGTGGCGCTACCTCCCCGCACACTTCCTCTGCCCATTCCTTTTCCTCTGAAGTGAATGGTCTCCCCTGCCCCACAGCCCCTCCCTCACTGTAGCTATCTTCTTTTCACCTTTGCTGAATTCACTCAAATACAATTTCTGCACGGAACCCTTCCCTTCCCTTTACTCCCCTCCCTCCTGTCCACGCACAGGCCTAGATGTATTCTACACGTTCCTAACATCGTGTGCATTTCCTGTCCTTTAACAGAAGCATATTGTGTAATAACGCATTCAGTTTTGTATGTTTCTGACTAAGGCCTGCCTTCTGCACCAGACGGTGAGCCCCTTGAGGACAGGGACTGCTGTCAGTGTTTACTTATCAGTCCCAGAACCCATCACTGGCATGTAGTAAGTACTCAATAAATGTTTGTTTGATGAAAACTAAATCTAAAAACTATTTTATATAACACAAATGATGAAAAGTGAAATTGCAAGAAATTGCAAAGGAATAGACAAAACATAAACCTAAATATCATTAAGTTCAATCTCAGCAGCTTTGAAAATAGATACAAATGGTTTAAATGCTGCCATTTAAAAATACTTTTTCAGTGATTATATAGGGACACGTAAATTTTCACACAATATAATGGTTAGGAGAAAAACTCAGGATATAAAGTTTTGTATAATACAATGTTGACTTCTACTTCCTCCTCAATAAAAACTGGAAACGAATTCCAAAAACGTTAACAGCAATTATTCTGGGTAGTAGAATTATGGATAATTTCAATATTCTTCTTTATATTTTTCAGAAGTTTTTAAGTTATTTGTAGGAAAAATATATTAATCAGAAAAAAGTTATATCTGTCAATTATGCTTTCCATTACAGCCTACAGAAAACTAAACTCAAAGTGGCTTAAATGATAACAGGAGTTTATGGCTAATATAATAAGAATGTTTGGTTATGGTTTAATTAGGTTCCTGGCTTCATTTCTTGAAAACACCTTGTGTTTGGTCTGTTTCTGTGCTTAGCTTCATCCCCAGATTGACTTCCTTCATAATATCAAAATGGCTGCCACGTCTCCAGGCTTCCCATCTTTATTCCCAACCATACAGAAGGAGAGAAATTATCTGTGTGCCACTCTGATTGGATCAGCTTAGGACACAGGCCTACTTCTGAACCAATCACTGTGGCTGGGGGCTGATGCTAGATCATTTCTCCATAGCCAGAGCTGGAGGTGCACTCAGATTCCCTAGAGCCACATGGATCACCAAACGGAAATTCAGGGCTATTGGAAATAGGCAAGAAGGGAATGGATTCTCGACAGACAGATCTGCCATAAAAATTTGAAAATATAGTACTTGCTTAACTAACATAAACGATTAAAGGGCACTATGATAGAGTGGAAAGGGCATTGGTACAAGACAAGAGCATCCCCTTTCACCACTCCTTTTCAATATCACACTAGAAGTCCTTGCTAATACAATAAGGAAAGAAAAGGCATACAGATTGAGAAGGAGGACAAAAAGCTGTCTTTTCGCAGATTACATGATTGTTTGTGTAGAAGATCCAAAAGAATCAAGAAAAAAACTTTCGGAATTAATAAGAGATCACAGCAAGATTGCAATTACAAGGTTAATATACAAAATCAATTGCTTTTCTGGATCCCAACAATGAACGAGCAGAATTTGAAATTCAAAACACAATACCATTTACATTGGCACCCAAAAAACTTTGATACTTAGGTATAAATCTAACAAAATATATACAAGGTCTATTTGAGGAAAACTACAAAACTCTCATGAACAAAGTCCAAAGAAGAACTAAATAATGGAGAGATATTCATGGACAGGAAGACGCAATACTGTCAAGACGTTAGTCCTTCCCCACTTCATCTACAGATTCAATGCAATTCCAATCAGAATCCCAGCAAGCTGTTTTACGGATATCAACAAACTGTTTCTAAAGTTTATGTGGAGAGGCAAAGACCCAGAACAGCCAGCACAATATTGAAGGAGAAGAACAGAGTTGGAGGATTGACACTCCCTGACCTCGAGACTTACTATAAAGCTACAGTAATCAAGAAAGTGTGGTATTGACAGAAGAAGAGAAAATAGATCAATGAAGCAGAATAGAGAGGCCAGAAACAGACTCACATAAGTTCAGTCAACTGATCTTTGACAAAGGAACAAAGGCGATACCATGGAGCAAAGACAGTCTTCTCCACAAATGGTGCTGGGACAATAGGACATCTACATGTAAGAAATTGAATCTGGTTACAGGCTTTACACTGTTCACAAAAATTAACTCAAAATGGCTCTTAGAACTAAATGTAAAATGCAAAACTATAAAATTCCTAGAAGATAACATAGGAGAAAACCCAGATGACCTGGCTATGGTGATGCCTTTTTAGATACAGCACCAAAGACAAGCTGGATTTCATTAAAATTGAAAACTTCTGCTCTGTGAAGGACAGTATCAAAAGAATTAGGAGACAAGCCACAGACTGGGAGAAAATATTTGCAAAAGACACATCTGATAAAGGACTGTTATCTAAAATACACAAAGAACTCTTAAAACTCAACAATAAGAAAGCAAACAACCCGATTAAAAAACGGACCAAAACCCTTAACAGACAGCTCACCAAAGAAGATATAGAGATGGCAGACAAGCGTGCTAAGAGATGCTGCACACCATAAGTCACGAGAGAAATACAAATTAAAACAACAGGAAGAGCCATTACGCACCTATTAGAATGGCCAAAATGCAGAACATTACAACCGCAAATCCTCGAAAGGATGTGGAGAAACAGGAACTCTCGCTAATTGCTGGTGGGAATGCAAAATGGTACAGGTACTTTGGAAGACAGTCAGGCAGTTTCTTATAAAACTAAACATACTCTTACCATATGATCCAGCAATCGTGCTCCTTAATATTTACCCAAAGGGGCTGAAAACTTCTGTCTACACAACAACCTGCACAGATGTTTATAGTAGCTTTGTTCATAATTCCCATGTTTGGAAGCAACCAAAATGCCCCTCGGTAAGTGAGTGGATAAATAAACTGTGGTACATCCAGACAACAGAATATTATTTAGTGTTAAAAAGAAATGAGCTATCACACCATGAAAAGACATGGAGGAAACTTAAATGCATATTTCTAAGTGAAAGAAGTCAATTTGAGAAGGCTACATACTATGATTCCAACTATATGACATCCTGGAAAAGGCAAAACTATGAAGACAATAAAAAGATCAGAGGTTCCCAGAAGGTGTTGGGGAGAGAGCAGTGGGATGAAAAGGCAGAGCACAGGGCATTTTTAGGGCAGTGAAAATACTCTGTGTGGTCTTATAATGATGGATATATGTCATTACACATTCGTCCTGACTGATTAAATGTACAATACCAAGAATTAACCCTTAGGTAAATTATAAACTTTGAGTAATTATGATGCGTCAGTGAAGGTTCATCCTTGGTTGAAAAAAAAAATCTACCATTCTAGTGAGAGATGTTGATAATTGGGAAGGCTATGCATTTGTGGGAGCAGGATGTGAAATCATTGTACCTTCCTTTCAATTTGATTGTGAACCTAAAAGTGCTCTAAAAAAATAAAGTCTATTAAAAAAATGGAAAAAGAAAAAACAACGACATTGAACCCCAAATCAGGAAACCTGAGCTCAAATTCTGCTTTTTACTAGGTGTGAGATATTGGACATTTCTCCAGGTCATTCTGCATGTTTCCTTCTCTATAAAATAGCTCCCTAAGAGAGCCTTCTCCATTGCCATAGGAATGAAGGAGGGTAACATGGAGGCAGATGTAAGATGCAGATTTGGTGGCAGGAAGTTTGAGCAGTTCCTCCCTGCCCCTCCCCCCCCACCATGGCTTCTATTTTCTCAGTGAGTGAAGCAGGACCCAAGATCATCCACAGGGCAGGAGGTGAAGTGGGAGTACTGGAGGTGCGAGGTGAGTGGAGAAGGCTTAAAATACTTGTTGCAAAAGTGGGAAACGAACATAGTAAGATGATCCTCACAAACTAGTAACTCGATGAATGTTTTCTGAATAAGAAAGGATAGCTTTAAAAGTTTTCAAGCAACATCATAGTTTTACAATTAAAACAAAAATGAGCTAGATGTGTGAAATGCACTATACCAATGTAAAATAGGATTATGATAGAAGTCAGTGGTTAATAAAAGGGTTCACTTACCAGACATTTGCTTTGGATTTTCTAAAGTACAGCTATTCTCACTCAGTAAGACTCCTTTATAGGACTGGCTGTAAATGTTTTCACATGGATCACCACGATTTCTTTACAACTTAGACTAACGGCTGGGTAGCGTGGTAATTTACCTAACTTTTGAGCATCATCAGGACTAAACAATTGTTAAATTTTACTCAACCTGAAAAAGATAAGAGAAGTTATTATTTTTTTTTAAAGTAGCATTTTCCTGGAGTCAACAGAAGGGAAATGTGAGAGAATGACATAGCAAGGGGACGTGGGGATTTGGGATGGGTTCTGTAGGTGGCCTAGAGAAGGGAGTTCTCTACACAGGATGTGGGCAAGATTGTTACTAAAGTCGTCTTTCCTCCCCAACGCCAGGTGGGGCGGGGCGGTAGTGCCATAAGGCTTTTCTTCAAAGGCTCCAAGAGCTTGCTCTCTCCGTCCCCTACCTCCATCCCAGTGAAAACTTTGCCTGGCATCACAGCATCAGGGAAATTAACCCCCATGGAAAAAATAAATTCTTACCTCTCGTCCCAACTCTCAACAAGAATACCATAGCTGTTTCTTGTGAGCACTGCAGTCTTGTTTGACAATATAATGAGATCTGGTTAAACAGATGAAAAATGCCTTAACCTGAGTGTTTATGTCAACCCTGCCAAAGCTTTCAGCCCCCCAGGCACTCCCATCTCTGCAGAGAGGGTCAAGAACCTTTAGCTGCGGTCCAGGCTCCGAGCTGGCGTCTTGCTACACCAAGCCACTTTTGCAATAGCAGGAGGCAGGAGTTTCTGTCAGTTTGAATTTCCGGAAGTGTGCTGGCCTATGTCATGATCTCAGTGGTGTCTGGGGCAGTTTGTTCCGTCAAATCCCTGGAATAGAGTGGGAAGAGAACGCAGAGAGGGAGTGCAAGAAACCAGCAGAAAAGCAGGCTGGCAAGTGACGCTCCACAGTGTTCATCTAGAACTGGGCTGGAGGTGCAGAGCCCGCCAACAAATCAACCTAAGGAGGCTCCCTCTCAAGGCTCTAGGGAACCAAACACAGTCTAGGCAGAGTCTCTAATTAAAGTGACTAGTTGGTCATTCCCTGCAAGCCAAGTCTACAGAGAACACAGTGAAAGGGAATTGGGAAATTATCCAACTAATGCAAATAAAGTGTGTAGCCAATCAGGATAATTTTGAATGAAAAATGCAATTTAACACATGAATATTTAGGGTGAGAATTACTCTAGCCATTCTATGGCTTCCAACCCATTCACCTTGGGGTTTTGCTTTCTAACCAGATCTTTCCTTCTCTCTCTAGCACGGATCCCTAACACTTATCACACTGTTTTGTCTATTCACATGACTTTCCCTGCTTGACTAAGCTCCTTGAAAGCTAAGTGTTGTCATCTCCTGTGGGCCTCCACTCCTAGAAAGGGCTCTATAGATACACAGGAATTGAATTAATCAATTAATGAAAAGAATAAGGTCATTTAAGAAATAACGAAAAATATGCCATGAGGGTATCACTTTGGAGTCTCCAGGAACCACTGCAAGAACCAGGTTATCACGCATGCTGACCGACCACACTCCAAATAAAGGGATTCCTTTCAGCTCAATAATTTCCTCCAGTGCTTCAGAGAGCACTCGGCTTCCCCTCCTCTTCCTGTTGCCGTGCTGCGCAGCAGCGCCCTGCAGCTGTCAAGCTACCTGAACTTCCCCTACCTGGACTTGATTTTAATGCAGGATCAAGCAATTTCCCAAAAAGTCTCGCGAAGGAAGAGAAAGATACCAACATAATTAGACATTCCAAACGTTGGTCAGAGATATTTAAGCAAGTTATCTTTACCTGGTATTTATTTTCTTTCAATGTTCACTTTCTGTTAGAATGTATTGTATTGTATTGTACTGAATTGTATTGTACTGTACTGCATGTTTTATCACTGTTTATTCTCATGTGTTCCCTCCTCTACTAGCCTATAACTCCTTGAAGGCAAGGAAAGGCCTTGAGTTTTTACCTACCACAGTGTGTGGCACATAGCAGTTACTCAATGTTTGCAGAATAAATAAGTAAAAGAGTTATTGGGGAATGAGCCCAAAAGGATCCAAGATATACCTACCATTTATATTTGGCTTTGCCTTCCTTTTATGCAGATGATGTTGCTCTTCCTTATTCTTAATAATGCTGATCATTGTAATTTAGACAGAGGAAAACCATAAACCTTAAGTGGAGTGTGTGAAGTTTTGGTGCATATTTGTTTCGGGGATGTTACTTACTTTCTCTTTTAAGCACGTGTAAGTGAGATGAACACCAAATAGTCAGCACAAACTGTCTTCCCAAATGGTAGTTGGCCCAACACCCAAGGAAGTCAGATCTTAAAAGTAAAAGGAAAACCTACTGCAGAGAATGTGATACAGTAAAGAGAGGAGAGAAACCGAACAGGGGAACCGAACAGGATGAAAGGCAAAACTGGCAAGAGCAAAGGAGATGGATATCACCATTTACCCCTTCAGATTGTTTGCAGTGTTAGAACTGAAACAAAGTTGCAAGTTGCTCAGAAAATTGAGATGTCCCTTTTAAAAATGATCCCTCCAGTTATCATTAGGGCAGCTTGTGTCTCGAGGGTCGTTAACCTCCTGCCCTCCATCCCTAACCCTGGGGCTCTGGGGGGTATCTGTCTAAGAGACTAGCTTCCAGAGGGGGTCAGTATTCCCACTTCAGAGCCCCCAGAGCAAACGACTGAACAGATTAGGACGGATTAGACAGATAACAACTCAGACCTTTTTACAAGCACATTTTTCACTCGACACTCAAATTCCCTTCTGTGCCCCGCAGTCTCACACAACCCAACGACTGGATAGTATTACTGAAATATCTTCGCGCCAGCCGAGTGCGTGGAACTGTGCAAAGCCAGATGTTCTTGTAACCCTGTTTTACTGAGTTATTTATATCCATATAATATTTGACATTTCCTGTGTTGTTAAAGAGTTGGGGGCCCTTGACGTATTTTTAAGAGAACAGTGCCGACTTTTCATTTTTTTTCTTTGATGCCCAGCCGCAGAAATAAGTGACAGAGAGAGAGAGACTGTATTAAACAGATGCTTAGATATCTAAAGTCTACCTGATTTTAATGCCTTTCATCTTAAATGATTTTCATGAACAGAAAGATGCTATAGTCATCCAGACTGAACACATGAATTAAGCCCACCATGCAAGAAAAGCACACACCCATGGGCCTAAAATAAGTCATGCAACAGAAAAAGAAAAAATTTTTTAATAAATGTTGAAAATATAATCCACATTTCTAGGACTAAACTTTATGGAATATTGATACATGAACTATGTCATTTCTTTGAACTTGATAGATATGGAAAGGGCTAGTTAAAATTTCTTCAGACTTAGTAAAATATTAGCTGGCAGATTTCTCTGGCTAAACGAAGTAATGGAAACTTTATAGACTTGAAACTATTTTCTTGATTCTAAGTGGTAAGAATATTTAAGCTGTATATGAAATTTGATATCACAGAAGGCATTCTGTTTTCTTTGCTTATTGTAAGGATCCATTCACAAACTATTCATTTTATTTTTAAGGTCCTAAATTTTATAAAAGCTTTCCCCTTTAAAGGATGTGACAAAAGGGTAGGGGTCCTGGTTTACAGTCAATTCTTGATATCTCTGGCTGCTCAACACTGAAAGCAAGGGTCACGGGAAAACAGCAGAAGTAAAATGTGATTGATTTGGGGTCTCTTTGGTCTTCGCAGTTGTTTCATAAACTTCTTTAAAGCTTTCCTTGTTAGCGTTTGGTTGTTTTTAAGATCAGCTTCCTTTCCTGAGAGCAGAGCGGTATGCACGTATCATTATGCAAGGAAACTTCCAAAATACATTCTGTCTTCCACCGTAAATCTTACTCACCTCACTCTATACCCCTCCCCACTCCCTGAACCTGAAGACCCTCCTGACTAGTTACATTCTTCCCAGCAGTTTAAGAAAACAAGACACCATGGCCTGTGGATGCCCACCTGAGCACAGCAAGCCTGCCCACTCCAACGCAGCAGTCAAATGCCCCGCAAATCCTCTAAGCTGTGATGAGTCTCTAGTCTTCAGATGATGGACAGATCCTCTTGGAGCATATCAATCAGGATGGCCCTCAAGGGACAGGCTCACTCATTTGTATCATCTATTCCCCAGCCTTTTGCCATGAATCACATGGGATTCTGCACTGAATCCTTCCATGGCTGCTCCACTGCAACAATTGGGATGGGGGAGCAGCATCTGGAAGGCCAGCATGATCCAGACCACTGACCAGGGTTTTATTTTGGATCTGCAACTCCCAGATTACTCTAGGCCCTGGTTGGCCACTAGTCTCTGGCCCCCAAGTCAAGATATTTTCTCACCTCCTGAATCTTTGATATTTTTCCTTCTACTCGTAGAACCTACTGCTCTTTTCTTTTAAAGACTCTCTGGATTTTTGTTTCCCTCAATGTATATCATCCATCTTTGCTTCTTTCCTATTTACCTCAGAACCTCCTCCCTACTGCCACTGACAACGTCTGTCTGACTCTAGAAAATCTCCCTTTAAGAGCCATCTAGAGTTCACTGGGATAACACTCCCATAGTATTCACCAAAGTGTTTGGGAAGAGGTAGAATTCTGTTCACAATCTTCTTCCATCAGCCTTCAAATCCACACATCCAATATATTCCCATGGCAGCATTTCTTTTCCTGATGGATGAATTTGAGCATCAAATGCAATCCTCTATTTCATGAGGCTGCCTTTGATGGAACAAGACGCAAGTCCAAGAGATATTCCTACAGAAAATCTAGTCCTCTCTTCAAAGATACTAATTGATTTACCTAATTGGAGCCTAGAGTTTATGAAACAAAGGTCCCAAAGTTTGACTTGGGGGTGGGGAAATTCATCTCACATAAAAACTTTCACAGTTACAAATAATACCATTAACCTAGCAAGTTCTCCGAGAAAGTTAAACTAGTGAATGTGATAACTTAAGATGACTCATCAACACCACATGGAAAAAAAGCAAATAAAAAAATATTATACTAGGATTGGTAACAGTAAAATTCCGAACTGCGAGAACCGTATAAGTCTAAAGAATGACATCCACCCAGATAATGGAGAAAAATAATGACATAAATTCTAGAAGAGTTAGAAACCATCTCAACGGAGCACCACAGATTCTAGTATATGAAAACTGAATGTAAATAGGAAAATATAAGCAAAAAGTCCAGTGCAGCACCTTTCATATAAATAAGCATTCTGTAAATTAAAGATAGAATCATTATGATCATGATATCACAATGGGATAGGTAGAATCTCATCTTGAAATTAAAAAATGGAGGCACAGAGAAGAAAATGTTGCCTTCTTCCAGGCCCAAACCACTTCTCCTTACTTCTTCCCTCAAAGCAAAATACTGTCTATCCGAGTGGCTAGAGCAGCAAGCAGGCAACTCCCAGGTCCCGTCCTCGGAGCATAACATTCAGAAATGCTTAAAAACAAACACCCAGTCACCAGATGTCCCTAACATCTGGCTAAACCCATAAAACTATCCTCTACAACCACTACCTCCTTCCTAACTCCAAAGTGTAGGGGGGAAGAAAACTTATGAAATCTCTGATGTAGTGAAATAAGATCTTGACATATATTTGTGAATTTTTTATTTCTTTGTTGTATGTCCTGACTCCTTTCTTGTTATTCAGAGGAAAATTTTGACTTCTATAGCAAGAGGATTAAAAGAAAAGAAATTCTAATATCCTATTCTTTTTAGGGTTCTAACCTAAGCTCCTGGGTATCAAAAGGGAAGGTCCTAAGTGTAATGGAACATGATGTGTATGCCAGAGCAAAGATGAGACAGAATTAGAAGGAGAGGAAAACGATCATACCCTCAACCCTAAAGAGATTTGGTGATGGTAACCTGGGTTGGCAGCAGAGGAGCAAAAGTGCTGAGGTCAGAACCTTGGAGCATGTCAGGGGTTGGGACAGTAGGTAAACCTGGGGGGATAAGGAGCAGAGGGAGGAGTCCACAGAGAGACCCTCACACATCACCTGCACTAGGCAACCCAGCAGAAGACCATCGTGCACCGTTCAAGAAGTACATGTCAGCTGACCTCAACTCTTTCCAGTAAGAGCCTTCCAGCATCGGTTTCTCTCAAGAGGCCTGTGGTTGCTCCAGTAGAAGGACACCTGGCCAGGCTCCAGGATTTGCTAAGCCTCTGTGTGGGTGTCAACTTGTGAACATTCCAGGACATTCTTCCAGCCCCCCTAGAACAGGATGGATTGCCTGACTCCCAACCAAGCAGAAAGGGTATAAAAAGAAAAGCTCAGCACTGATCCTTGGGTGTATCTAGACCAGGATCCCAACCTCAGCACTATTGCCATTGGGGGTTGGATAATTCTTTGTTGTGGAGACTGTCCTGTGCACTGCACGACGTTTAGCAGCCAGACTCTATCCACTAGATGCCAATAGCACGCCACCACCTCATAGTTAACACAATCAAAATGTCACAACGTTGCCAATAGTACCCTGCGGTGTTGAGGAGTGCAAAACTGTCCCCATCTGAGAACTACTGGTCTAGACAGTAAGCAAACCCTTTCTTACTACACTGAATCTGTACCCATCTTCAGTATTCCAGGGCAAGACGTTAGATCACTTACAGCTACAATTTGTGACCAGCAAACCATGATTTCAGACACTATCCCAACAAGTGTATTTATGTGAACAGTCTCAAAATATTTGAAGCACCCACTACTTCCATTAACACCCTAACACACATACACACACACACATTTAGGTGTGGAGTGTAAACCACCTCCAGCACAAACTATTTCTTTTCCAAGTGCAGTAAATACGTACAGTAGTTAATTGTGAAGGAGAAATTTATATTTGCTTAAGGACAATAGGAAGAAGCTGGATGAAGATGGCATGAGGGGTGAAACACTGAAAATGGGGGCGAGGCTAATACAAACTTTGGGACTGGTGGCAATTTTCGTGGAATTGACAATTCCTTGAACACATGGGTAATTATCATTATTCTTAAAAACTTATTAGCTTCTCCACTTACCAGATGCATAATATTGAAAAAAATGTATTACTTTTTCTAATGCTTTTTTTCATCTTCACAGTGGGGATATAATAACGTACTTTACAGGATTGTAACGCAGATTAAATGACCTAAGTCATTAAAGCAATTAGCACACGGCCTGACATGTAATAATCTCTCAATAAGTTAGCCACTACTATTTTCATTATAATGGAATAATGGATTGAGCTAACAAATGATGCTAATAACATTTTACACAACGTATTTTGAAGCTCTGACTTATCTGATCCTCACTCAGCCTTGTGAAATAAACACGGTGACCATTACACCCTTTTAACGCAGGAGTCAAGCGTGGAGGGTTGACCAGACTTACTCCAAGACACACAATGAGCACACAGTAGCCTAGGCCTGGCGGCTAGGCCCTCACATTTCTCCCTGAGTTCTCTTTCCCAGACCCACTCCACACGGTGCTGAAAGTCCATACCCCTAGACCAGTTAGCACAATGTCAGACAACTCGGATGGCCTAAACAATAAGGGATTTTATTTGCACACATAACTGGATGGCCAGAGGTTGGGCAAATTCCAAGAACATACAATCAGGACTCTGGATACGTTTCCTGGAGATTCTTTCGAGCTGCCTTCCTTTGAGTATCAGCTTTGTTCTCAGAGCAGCTTCCCTTATGTTCACAGAAGGTCCACTGGCAGAAGCATGAGGCAGAGAGAGAGAAAATGGCTATTTACTGCTCCTCTTAAAAGTGAGAATGAAGTTTCCCAGAAGCCTCTGCAATCTTTGCCTCAAACAGAATAAGGTCACATAACCACTCCTGAATCAAATGTGTTCAAGGATGGACTTGCCCTGATTTATGTAGTCAAATCATAGCCGTGGAGCTGAGGATGGCTCAACCGTCCCTGAGAAACTCAGGCAGAGCAGAAAAGAGGTACACACCATGCCAAGATTTTCTCGGGAAGGAAGGAAGAGGGAAGGGAAGCCAAGTAGGCAATCATCAAACCATTTATGGTGTTGATGATTTAAAACTTCCTGATGGGGGCATTGCCCAGCTTCTACTTTCTTTGTGCTGATCATATGGAAAAAAAAAAAAAAAAAAAGAGTTTTAGATGAATCTAATAAAGCCCTCAACAAGGAAGTGAGATTTGAGGAGAGTTCTGAGAGAACTGAATGAATCATATACCCCAGAAGATCTCCTAGAGACATTTATCAAAAACAGGAGAAGCAACAATCTGAATGAAGAGAAACAAAATGCATGAAATTCTCAAAAAGATGAAAATTCCATATAGCTGAATTCCAAAGACTCAGACATCCCACCAACTGCTTCATGGTCTTTCCTGTCATTTAATTTGCTCCAAGTAACGAAAAGCAGTGCTACACTCTCGGGTTGTTATTTAACACGTTGCAGAGAAGTTGGCTCGTCAGCTTTTTATGAACAGTTTCTCCTCTGAAACATCATAAATCAAGCGTTGGGTTTGCCCTTAGTTTTCAGGTTTTAGCAGCAGCTGATCCCCAGATACGGCCTCACAATGGCCTGAAGACTTCCCCTGAGAACAGAGATGAGGAGCTGAGAGAACCCTTCCCTGCATGCCCAGGGAAGGCGACTACTAGGAAATGCTTTCCTCAGGGGTTTGGGGCTTATGTGCAATCCTGTGGTAAAAACCATGGCTCTGCATGTCCCAGTGGAATGCGGAGAGAGAACCCAGTGGAAGCCAGAGGTGAGATAGCATTCTTACAGGTTGAAGAAGAAAAGAGAAGGAGAGAGAAGCATGGAATGGATAAGTGGATTTTGCCGCTACACTGTTTCCTAAGCATGCCCAACTCCCCACCCGGAACGCACACTAGGGTGGGAACAGACAGCTGCAAGGGCAATGTGAGTATTCCAGGTCCCACAGGGTGCCCAGACCACGGCCTCTGGTGCACCCAGCTCCTCTGCAGCACCCACCCTCCCCTTTGTTCTCACACAAGACCCCAAGCTGTCACCCCACTCACAGGTGAGTCCTAACAAATAATATCACTAAGAGGAAAGAACAGAAGCCTGAGAAGGCTGATCTTAGAGTTTAAATAAGTCAGCTGCCCATTAAGTTCTACCCAAACTCTCCCAAATGACTTTCCACCGCCACGCCTCCAGTCATATCTACTCTTTCCAGCACTAAGTTAAGAACCATTCAACCAGCATGTCTGTGGCCACAACCTCCAGAAACTCAGTCACCGACTCAAGTCTCCGTGAACAAAAAACTGGAAGTTGGGAGAGGAGGGGTGCAAAAGAACAAAAGGAAGCCACTTCTTCGTGAGGTTTTTCCAGCCCACCATTTCACTCGCCTGGGGACCTGCAGAGTGGGTCAAAGATCTCAGGCCCGGGTCTGAGGGATGGTGGTCAACTGGAGATGTCACATGCCCATCAGAGCAGACCAGCAATCCCTGGCCCCGCACGTGTGCTTACTAAGTTATGCAAGTGCAAGCCTTCTGGGTCTGTTTATTTGTCTTGCGTTTGCTGTTTTATTAACCAGAAACTTGAAAAGGAGGCTTCCTTTGTTGTACTGCCATTTGGCAGAAGACTAGAGGTTACAGTAGCAAGCAGAGCCCAAACATTTTTTTAAAAAATCTCGATGAAAGTTCCTTCCAGAGAGAAAAACTATATCCGATTCCCTGTCTCCCATTGAACCTCTGAAGGACTTCCTACACCTTACCTTCAAATAACAGAGCCCTGGCCAAAGAAAATGGAAAAACATAAATTTTTGCACGTAAAATGGAAAATCAGAGGGTGCAGACAGGCCTGTGTCAACAGGGTATTTTTAGCTATCAGTGAATTTTTAGAACCAAGTCTTAAGACATGGTTCTTTGCACATGGACCTGGGATGTGTTTTTTAGGACCACTGCTACCCGTGGCTATCCTCACCTCATTTTCGAAGGTGGGTAGTATCTCCACTTAAAGAAGGAGGAAACTGAGGCCCAGCTGGGAGAGAATGACTTGCATAAGCTCCCAGTGACTAAAGAGCAGGGACAAATGTCGAGGCAGGACAGCCCCTTGATAACTCTAACGTCATCATTCCTGATCTCTATTTCTCAATATTCACTTGTGGCTCCCTCCTTGGAATTAAATATTGCCCCTTTATTGTGCATTAATTACTCTTGTCTTTCTCTATCACAAACTGAGTTCCTCATCCCTGAGATCAAAGAAAAAAGATTAAGCGCAAAATAAGTGCAGAAGCAGCTCTCCTGCAAGGTTCTCAGAATCTCTGTGCCCAGATCCTAACAGAATGGTTTCAAAACAGAGGATGACAGTGAATGACGGGCTCTGGCTGGGGTTCAGTTATCTCGGGCCCTGCCCCTTGTGCCAGGAGAGGAGATGAATGCAGCAGCTCAATTTTCCCTCTATTTCCCTCAACAGTCACGGGTGGCTAAGTCCCAACGATCAAGCTGTGGCAGTTAGAGGCAGGAAATGGAATTGGAGAAGAGAGCCTTGAGCTTACCCACCATGGAGAGCCCAGGGTGCTTCAAGCTCTTCCCGGTCCCAAAGCCCCCAGCCGGGTTTGCACCTGAACAAACCCTTAGGGCTCAGGTGGCGCACTGCATTTCCTGAACTCCTTGTGAACCTGTGTCTGGATCCCCACTGGCCGGTGCTGCCCAGTCGCCTTTGAGGGCTGTCCTGAGCTTCCTGAAAACAGACTCAATAGGGTCAAGTGACACACGAAACTCTTGGCTGAAAATCGGGTGGTGCGGTCCCAACCTTGCTCCTAACCAAATGAAAAACTGAATGCAAATTGCTTCACTTACCTAAAAGTAGAAGGACAGAGTCCGAAGAAGGTGGTGATGGAGACACCGTTTACGGGCACCTCCCGGTCAAAGGTTCTTTTCTGTGGCTGGTGCTGGCTTTGACTGAACATACACAAGCTCGGGATGACACTCATACATCTAAATGATGACGATTTGGGGCTCAAGAAAGGCAGCTTTTCCTGAGGGTGTGCAAGAGAATTGAAACAGTAAGGATTTTTTTAAAGTAACTAAACAGAATTGTTTATAAACTGAGCTAGATGCATTTCTAAAGGAATACAACTCACTGTGCAACCCACCACAGTGTGCGTGCGTGTGTGCATGTGGAACCCAGAGAGCGTCTGCTTACAGCAACCACTAATTCAAGAAGACCATTAGATTATCATGCTGTCTAGCTCTGTCTAAAAACCAGCCAGCATTCAGTCACTTACACTTTCGGTTTTTCTGATAAATGACAATTTATGAATACATCCCTTATACGTAGACTGATTTCAACGGGAATAATTGAGCAAATTTTTTCATTAGACGTTTTCCTGGGGATGTCACTGCATTTCAGAATAGGTACACTTTGGCAGTGATAGCTCCTGGATTCTTTAAATTTTTTTGTAACCAAATTTCATCCATATTATAAAAAATATTTGAAACATTTAAGATAAAAAGCTATTTATTAACATAGCTAATATTTATTGAGAATTGTTTCAGGCACTATGTTAAGTACTTTAATGCATAAAAGAATTTAATCTTTATTAGAACCTTTTGAGATATTAGAATCCTTTGCTGTTACTATCCTTACTTTAACAAGGGGGAAACTGAGCCTTAGGAAAGTTAAGCAACCGGTCGATGTCATTCAGCCAGTATATAGCAGAGCCATCACAAAGCTGGTTCTTAACCACCACACTAAGTTGCCTCATTGTACTGCTCATGATGGTAGCTTGGTACTTTAATAGTAATTATTAAATCATTCTTGAAGCTATTAGTCGATCAAATTTTTGATCCCTTAATATATACTCAAATTTCTGTACATCTTCCTTGTTCAAGGAGTTTTCCAGTGGAAAAAAAGGAGGGAGGTTCTTTTTAATTACAAATATCAAGATATAGGCACAGGAGGCTGGCCCAGTGACGTAATGGTGCAGTTCGTGTGCTCCACTTTGGTGGTGGGGTTCAGAGGTTCAAATCCCAGGTGCGGACCTACACACAGCTCATCAAGCTACGCTTTGGTGGCGTCCCACATATAAAATAGACGAAGATTGGCACAGATGTTAGCCCAGCAACAATCTTCCTCAAGGAATATGAGAAAGATTGGCAACAGATGTTAGCTCAGAGCCAATCTTCCTCAACAACAACAACAAATAATTATATATATATATAGGCACAAATCAGTCTTTGTGTATGTATAACATTGCATGATGGTTCACATCTCCCTCTAGAGACATTGCCCTTAATCCCTTAATAATCCAGGGTAAATTTATGTTTATATTTTATATCTCTGCACTGAACGCTTTATGTGATGTTAAATATTGATATTTGTGGCTCATCTTAGCTGCTAGTGACAAAGTTGAGCCAAAATAGCACAATATGGTCAGATGCAGCAATAAACAGCAGTCTTGTACATATAACTGCTTAAAAAGATACACTCAAATTTTTATTTTTCTCAATGTTGTTGATATGTCAGCTCCTTCAGTTTTATATATAGATTCAACACAATCACAATCACAGCCCCAGGAGGCTTTTTGAGATCTCAACAAGGTAATTCTAAAATTTATGTGGAAATACGACAGCACCAGAATAGCTAAAACAATCATCCAAAAGAACAGGTGGGAGGACTCACACTATCCGCTCGCACTTTGATTTCAAGACTGACTATAAAGCTACTGTAATCCAGACAGTGTGTGCTGGCAAAAGTTAGACGTATAGATCAATGGAACAGAATAGAGAACTCACAAACAGACCCATACAAATACAGTCAACTGATTTTTGAAACAGGTACAAAAGCAGTTCAATGAAGAAAAGATAATCTTTTCGTCAAATGATTTTGGAACATTTAGATGTATACATGCAAAATAAATTAAGTAATTAAATAATGAACCACTACACATACCTCACATCTTATAAAAAAATTAATGTAAAATATATCCTAGATTTAAATGTAAAATTTAAAGCTATCAAACTTCTAGAAGAAAACATAGGAGAATATCTGTATGACTTTGGGTATGGCAAAGAGATTTTAGACGCGACAACAAAAGCAAGATTTATAAAAGATGAAATATAAATTGAAATTTATCAAAATTTGAAACTTTTGCTGGGGACAGCGCAGTTGCATAGTGGTTAAGTTCATGTGCTTCACTCTGGTGGCCTGGTGTTCACAGATTCGGAACCTAGGGCATGGACCTACACACCACTCATCAAGCCATGCTGTGGCAGGCATCCCACATACAAAATAGAAGAATACTGGCACATATGTTAGCTCAGTGACAATCTTCCTCAAGCAAAGAAAGGAAGATTGGCAACAGATGTTAGCTCAGGGACATTCTTCTCTACCAAAAAATAAATTAAATAAATAAATATTTTTTAAAAACTTGCTCAGAAAAAGACATTGTCAGAAGAATCAAAAGCCACAAAATGGAAGAAAATATTCGCAAACATAAATCTGATAAAGGATTTATTTCCAGAATATATGAAGAACTCTCAAAACTCAACAATGAGAAAAAAAACAATGAAATATTGAAAAAGATCTGAAAAAACACTTCACCAAAGAAATTATATGGATGCAAGCACACATATGAAAAAATGTTCAGCATCATTAGTCACTAGGGAAATGCAAATTAAAACCAAGCACTGGTAAGTGTTAACAGCAAGTGGAACTCTGAAACCTCCTGGTAGGAATGCAAAATGGTACAGTCACTTCAGAAAAGTGTGGCAGTTTCTTATAAAGCTAAACATTTGCTTGTCATAAAGTCCAGAAATCCTACTTTTAAGTATTCACTCAAGCAAATTGAAAACTTATATACTACCAAAAACCTGTACATGAATATTTATAGCTTTGTTCACATTCACCAAAAATTGGAAACAGCCTGGGTGTCCTTCAGTAGGTGAATGGATAGATAAAATGTGGTACGTCCGTAGAACGAGTACTACTCAACAACTGAACACTTCTCAGCAATGAAAAGGAATAGGCCATTCACACAACAACATGAATGAATCTCAAATGCATTTTGTTCAGTGAAAGAAGCTAGACCCAAAGGCTATATATTATATATGTATATTATATGAATCCACTTACATGACATTGTGAAACAGACAAAATTCTGGGAATGGAAAGCAAATCCCAGTGCTTTTCAGGAGTGGGGGAAGGGAGGAAGGGCAGCACAAGAGAAGTCGGGGGCTGATGGAACTGTTTCCAGTACTCTGGTGATGCTATACATTTGTCAAAAACATAGAACTGTACACCACAAAGAGGGAATTTTACTGTGTGTAAATTTTAAAGCTCAACCCCAATTTCAGGGGAACCCGAGATGGAGCGCAGACTATGACAACTGAATCTGACTGCATTACAAATAAAGGACATAACCACAATGAAGGGTTGAGAAGGAGCAATGACCTAAGCAACTTTGAGGAACAGTGTGTTGACCAGATACTGCAAGACTAAAAACAAAAAGAACCATGCATAATCAAACATGCGTAATTAAACCATGCATAAACACTGTACTTTAGTTGAGTGAATTCGTTTCTCCCAAGGGTATGGATTAGCAATTCTGAAACAGGTTCATAGGTATACTATTGTTGAACAAATACATAAATATATTGTAGACAATAAACGGCAGATTTCTCACTGTTGGAGAAAGAAATTACAAATAAGCAAAGAGGAAATGCTGGAATGAACCTTGTGGAACTGGATTGGCATTGGAGATACCAGCATTAACTCATTTTAAAACATATACAGATAGTTCTGGACTGTGTAATCCATATGTTGAAGCCCTAACCTGCAATGTGACTGAGTTTGGAGATAGAACCCTTAAGGAGGTAATTGAGGTTACATGAGGTCAAAAGGGTGGGGCCCTAATCTAATATGATTTGTGCTCTTATTAGAAGAGAAAGAGACACCAGGGAGGTGCATGCACAGAGAAAAGTCCATGTGAGGACACAGCAAGAAGATAGCTGCCTGCAAGCCTCAGAAAAAATTAACCCAGTAAGTAAACACCTTAATGCTGGCCTTCCAGGCTCCAGAATTGTGAGAAATAAATTTCTGATGTTTAAGCCATCCTGTCTGTGGTATTTTGTTGTGGCAGCCCTAGAAGACTAAGACACACATAAAGAGATTTAGAAAGAAATATAGATATCTGTGTATATTTAGGTTAGTGTCCGTACATATATTTCCTTGCTCTGTCTGCTGAGAGGGTCTAGAAGCAGTTACACCTAGTAGCAAGAAGCACAACTAATTCCCAAATCTTGGTTTCTCAATACCATTCTCAATACAAGGAACCAGAGATCCTTGGAGAAGCAGTTGATTTCAGGACTGGGGCAGAGAAAATGCAAGATAATTCTGGAGCATCACATGGTAACAGAAAGTAAGGAGATGCTAAAGAAAAAAATTCGGAAAGGATGGGGCATGTCAAAAGGGTGCAGGAGTCAACCCAAAAGAGCTTCCAATGGCCCAAGTGGAACAATTGAGCAATGAAATAAATTATAGCAATGTACTACAATTCAAAGAATAAAATAAATATCCATATGTCCATACTGATGATGAAAGAAAGGAAGACAGAGAGGGAGAGGGAGGGAGAGAGGATGGGGGAAAGAGAAGTGATAACTCTTTCTTACAAAAGAATTCCAATTGACAAACATAAGAAGAATGAGTGAAATCACCATTAGAGCACCACAGGAATTATTACTTAAGGTGAAATCCACCAATGAATGCTAAAATTAGTAAGCAGAAGAGTAAGGAGAAACAGAATATTTGCATAGTCTCAAAGAATTTCCCTCCAAAATATTTGTGAACTGCAAATCATCTCCCCCAAATTCTTGTTGATTGCAGAGGAGAAAAATAGTCACTTTCCAGTGGAGTACTTTGGCCAAGTGATCAAGGTCAACATCACCAGTAATAAGACAGCTCAATAGCATATGCCCTCTGGAATGATGTACTGCAAAGGGCACAGCACCTCTGCTGTATTCTTCCC